ATCGAATAAAAATTGATCGGAGTGGAATAAATAAATAAAAAGAACATTGAATGGGAAAAACCGGTGAAATGCAAAAATAATTATATAATTTTCAAAACAGTAGATAAATATCGAACATAAAAGCACAGTCAATCAATTAATTGACAATAGAATTTTAGAATGCCTTTCACGGAACATGCAAACTTTCCTTTATACAGTACCGTCGGTAATTGTCGCAATTATCAAGAGCCTAACAACAATCATTTTCAGTGTTTGTTGTTGTTGTTGTTTTTTTACATATAAAAGGTGTCGAAAATTAAACTTAATGAAACAAAAAAGGATTCTTATCAAAAATTTGTAAACTATTTCAATTGGTGTAAATGCAAGCAAAGGCTTTTTTTTCTCGACATCTTGCGATGACAAAGATCGATATATATAGCGATCAAGGCGATTAATCTCTAAAAAGTTAACATCCAAAGACAATTAATGCTGTTTCTTGGTTAAAATCCTCGCTTAAAGTCATAAAATAACATATGCATTTTCGACTTCCATAAAATTTTGAAAAGTGCCGTACGGCTAGCCAATACAGCGTGTCCTTGCTAGTCGTACGTGACTCACGTACGGCTAAAACTTTGGCTAGCCGTACGGGCCCGTACGCTAGCCACTTCCATTATAAAAACCCTACTAAAAACGTGTTCTTAATAGTACATATCATTAATTTTTTTGCAGTTTGATTCTGACTTTCAAATTTAAAGGTGTGAACAATGTTATAATTGATGTACACATTTCAAAAATATCAGCAACTGTTTTGTAAAAAGTAAATTGTTAACATGTCTGTCAACGTAAAATGCTGCGCATCGTAATCGTAGCCTAATATTAACTGCAGGGAAATCATTTTTATTGGCTGCTCAAAAATCTAATTTGCATAATTTATTCACACAATTGCTGGTTCTTACTTACTTATGTCTAATACTGCGCATTGTCCATTTTTTAATTGTTCCTAATTTGCACCAAATGCTCCTGTCAACACTGTGTACTGACGATTTTTTTTGCTCCTTGTATGCCTCTGTGCCGACAGACCTTTTGATCATGCACAATGTTGCCCTAATTGGTTAATCACCATTGTCAAATATTCTAATGACGAAATAGACATCTATTTTTTTACGCTCCATCAGTGAAGTGAATGACCTTAGGGGAATTCGGTTCCACACCTGTCAAATTGTACTGTAGTAAATTACAGCACGTCATAAAATAGCAACACATTTTTTTCAGTTCCCCAATAATCATTTTAAATATTAAGTAGATTTATGATTTTTTTTTTTCTTGGATTAAATTTACGTAGAAGAAATGCGTATCTGTCGGGGAAAGCGAATTTGGTAAGTAGAGATAACGTGGAAAAAAGCTTTGGGGAACTGGATAAACCCGAGAATATGCGTAATTATAGGGAATGGGCACTCTGTTGCTGTTGGTACCAGTTTTGACTGGGTGCCTAAATAACTTTACGGACAGTTTTGTTTTCATACGATATAAGTCTGGCTGCCGATTTTCCTGCGCCTTTCTCATTTTTAGCGTCAATGGCGGAAATACGCGTCCTCAGCTTATTGGATTTAGTTGATATTTTACTTGAAAAAAGATATATGACCGGCGATGTACCCTATTTGGACAGCTTGTATAAGTTTCTCATAGTACCCAAAGTAAATTGATGGTTTATCTTTTTGAAAATTAAGCAGTCATTGCTTAAATCATGTGGTGGGATCATCAGCAAGCTTGAGTATCGGGCAAATGATAATTTATGTCGCGGCGTCTTCAATTATTTAATTAAAACAATTCAGTTCCATATGATGTTTTCATAAATAATATATAATGTACGCAATTAAATTAATAAGTTCTTCATCAAGATATATTTCAGTTGTACCAGCGTGTACAACTATACCGAAGTGGGTATTACACGTCACAATCTCGGTCTCGTCTGTCTCGCGAGAGAATGACAGAACGCCAAAATGGCGGCGCCCATGAACTTATTTCTCAAGTAAAAAATAGTGTCTTTAAACACGAATTTCTCTCTTATAGGGTTGATGTCAATAGGGAAACTGTCATGGTTCCTCTTTTTAAATGATGAATATTTATATTAGACAGACATCAATCCATCCATTCTTATTCCTTTAAGAAAACATTCAGGCTGTTTTTCTTACAAATAATTTCTGCTTTTAATTTTTTTTCCAAAGCTATGGTATAATCACCTCATCTGATAAAATTTTTCATTTAAGACTAGCTTGTGAGAATTTTATAAGTTTAAATCATTATCCAATCCAGTTCCTATACTAACCAGTACAAGAACAGTATAAGACTCAAACCTTTGCTCCCTTTACTGAGAGGCAGAACCAATTATCTCTATATGAAAAATTACAGTGTGGTCTTCAATTTTATAAAGATATTACATACTTCAAAGTAAATTAGAAGACACTTTCTTCAACCTGATGTTTTTTGTAACCTTCTCAATATTAAAGAAAGTCACTCGTTTCTCTCAGGTCAAATGGTTCTATCTACAAAATGCTGTCAGTGACAACAACCAGTGTTTGATTTTTTTTTCTAGCATATAACATAAAAGTCCTATAATATTTCTACATAAGGTAGCATAGGAATGTACAACTAGATTTTCAATAGTGCTCCGATGTCATCCTTATTTGCACACAATTCATCCATAAAAGGTGTGACGAAATGACATCAGATGCACTGGTAGAACTTAAGATAAATCCAACTTGCTGATTTAGGTACGTTAACCTCATATGGACAGACCAACTGACAGATGGATGGGCATACCAATTTTATATACCGGTATGCCCAGGGGCATAAAGAGTAAATGATCATGAAAATGTGGAACAAATCATCTTGAAAGATGGTTGATAATCCCATAGATAAATAAGAGACGTTGCACAAAGAAAAAGATGCTTAACCTGGCCTTCAACATTTACCATACTATATTTTTGGAAAAACATAAAACAAGTTGACATTCACAACATGAATTTCAGACTATAACTGAGCTTTTGTTAAAAATGTACAGGGAGGAACGAAGAACAATATCATTGACAGACAAAGTTCCCAGATATCCCTGTTTGTTTATTTCTCTAGGAAGATAGAAACTTAAAGAATTGCTACACCTTCAACAACCTTTTTAGTCTGGTCTTCCAATGCAAACATTCTAACAAAAGTTTTAATTAAAGAATCTATCAGGTAACAGTCTTAGGGACTTACGAAAGCATACAGGCTGTTTATCTCACAGTAGTTTTTGCTTTTGAATTTTTTATCAGATATATAACTTCTGCTTTTGAATTTTTATCAGATTTATGGTATAATCACCTCATCCGATAAAACTCTGTCCCAAAAAAGAATTTAAGACTAGCCTTTAAGAATTTTATTAGTTTAAATCATTATCCAATCCAGTTCCTATACTAACCAGTAAAAGTACATTAAATGGCTCTAACCCTTGCTCCCTTTACTGAAAGGCAGAACCACTCAGTGTGGTCTTCAATTTTATAAAGATATTACATACTTTAAAGTAAATTAGAAGACATTTTCTTCTACCTGATGTTTTTTGTAACCTTCTCAATATTAAAGAAAGTCACTCGTTTCTTTCAGGTCAAATGGTTCTATCTAGGCAGCTTATTATTATTATGTCATCAGTGACAACAACCAGTGTTTGATTTTTTTTTCTTTTTCATTACATAAAAATCATATAATTCCACTTATGGAAGAGCCATTTTTCACTAGGTGATCTCGCTCTATAAGAATATTTACAGTGTGGTCTTCAATTTTATAAATATGTTACATACTTTAAAGTAAATTAGAAGACACTTTCTTCTACCTGATGGTTTTTGTAACCTTCTCAATATTAAAGAAAGTCACTCGTTTCTCTCAGGTTAATAGGTCTATCTAGAAAATGCCAACAGTGACAACAACCAGTGTTTGATTTTCTTTCTTTCATATTACATAACAAGAAGCGCCGCAATGCGACGAAAACCAGGTTTTCAACGACCAAGTTTTGATGTTACAGCAATCAATAGGTCGAAAAGCACTGAAGTTATTGAGTAGAAGCTGAAAATTCTATTGTAAGCAAATGACCTTGAACTTGCTCCCAGATATCTTAGTGGCAATCCAAAGCTAGCAAGTTTGGTGTCAAAGCAAACTAAAGTTATAACATGAAAACTAAATACATGTACATTAACCTTGATCACAGACACCTGGGTAGCAATCCCAAGCTGTCTCTTGACATAAGCTATCCATACACCAAGTTTGGTGTCAATAGGTCAAAGCAAACTCAAGTTATTGAGCGGAAACTGAATTTCTATTTTTAGTAACAGTGACCTTGACCTTGATCACAGACACCTGGATAGCAATCCCAAGCTACCCCTTAATATAAGCTATCCATACACCAAGTTTGGTGTCAATAGGTCAAAGCAAACTCAAGTTATTGAGCGGAAACTGAATTTCTATTTTTAGTAACAGTGACCTTGACCTTGATCACAGACATCTGGGTAGTAATCCCAAGCTGCCTCTTGATATAAGCTATCCATACACAAAGTTTGGTGTCAATAGGTCAAAGCAAACGCAAGTTATTGAGCGGAAACTGAATTTCTATTTTTAGTAACAGTGACCTTGACCTTGATCACAGACACCTGGGTAGCAATCAAAAGCTGCCTCTTGATATAAGCTACCTACACACTAAGTTTGGTGTCAATAGGCCAAAGCAAACTCAAGTTATTGAGCTGAAACCAAAAGTTAATGCCTGCCCGCCCGCCCGCCATGACTTCGGCATTACAATAACCCGGTTTTCGTTGAAAACCTGGTTAAAAATCATATAATATTTCTATTTATAGTAGCATTGGAATGTACAACTTCATTTTATGATTTGCAATATCACTTTAATGTTATCCTTACTTCCAATATTTAGCAATCTGATGCTATTTTGGCTCTGATATTAAGTTATAGTGCATCTTATCGTAACTGAATAAAACTTTACTTACCACAATGTCATGTTGGAATACTGAGTTTTTTGTGTCCATAAAAGAACCAAATTTGCAGGCTTGAGTAAGGGACAGTCCTATAAATCTCAAATTGTGACTCTGTACAAATTCTCTGAAATGGTAATAGATTTGATGATTAACAAGGATTCAAGGAAAAAACAAACAGTTGTGTTAAATAAAGCTAGGACATTCTGATTGATAAAGAAACTATTCAGGATGAGGTTAGCACCACAAATCTCATAGTTTGACAGTAGAATAAGCCATAGTTCTTGACCTATCATTTCAGTTACAGACCTATATTTACATTGAAGACCAAAAAGCCACGTTTCAAGTGAATACCTACACAATGGAACCTTATCCAAAGTTTCACAGGCATGCAAAACCTTAACCATTGATCAAGTTTTAAACTGTGTCTGCAATTTTCACTTTTAAACTTTGTTTTCATTGCTCTCAAGAATCTCTCGTTTTCCAGATTTTTTCGTTCATTTCAACAAGAGCATGATAATTGAAAACATATTTTTGTACAAGATAATTATGTTTAAAATCAAAATTGTTTTTCAGCAGCCACAGACACTTTCTTCAACTGATTTAATATTTAAGAGCTTTTTGAAATGACAATATGGTCCTTTATACTGAATTCTTTATTTTTGTCTTCTTAAAAAATAGATAAATAAAACACTTAACATTAAAGAAGAAAAAGAAATAAGTTAAAGAAAAAATTCATAATTGATAAGATATTCAAAACTATATAATGTACATGTATATACAAATGCTATGTATTTATTTTTATAATTTTTCCTCTGTATTCAATTTCAAAGCCTAAATAAAAGCCCTTCCCTTTGTTTACTATCTCGGCCAAGTACATGTAAGATTTGAAACCTTGTATTTCAGAGAGGACAACTTCCTGATATAAAACAGCAGAATAATCAATTAATTGCATTTAGGATTGGACATTAAGACTACTTTAAAACGTGAAATATCAGTCATTGAGCTGATAACCAATCTTTTAATTATCTCTTTACAGACTTCTTGATGACCTGAAATCTCTGTTGCAATTAGAGATGTAGTGATTGCTGTTAAAAAGTTATTTTTAGCACAGATCATCACAGTGCTTTTTGATTTACAACCAGTTTGGACTAATTGCTCTAATAAAACCATTCTCAGTATTAAAGCCTGAAAATTTAATACTCATTCCCACTAAATATCATAAATGGACTTCCCATCTTTCAATCTGGACGAAATCATTCATCATTTTTGGGGTTTTTAAAAAAAAAATTAACGGTAAACGGGGGGTAAAAAAGACTATATCGAACGCTAGTATACCACGAGCAGGCTTAATGTTAAATTCATAATATAATAATTATAAATCATAATAATAACCTCATCTGATGAACTTCTGGCCATTGTTAAATTAGAAGGGATTTCAAATTAAATGAAAACATTTTCAAGTTCAGTCAAACTTCCTTTTGTCAATTACTCATAGAAGAATGTTTCAACATTTTCTTGAATTGACATATATATGTTTATTGATTCCTTAGACAAAATAAGAGATGAAATGACATGCAATTCAAAACAATTTACAAAGACCATAATAGCTTTGTTTCCTTAAGATATGGCAAGCAATCTGACACTACAATTATGGCTTGCACATTAATGCCAACATTGGGTTGTTTCCAATAAACATTTGTTTTCATGACTGAAGAAATTCTCATAACAATGAGCAAGAATTATTCTAGTTCAGACTATCTTCACTATGTATTAATACAATGTAGGTTCAATATATTGATATTCAGAATGTCTGAAATCTAAATAAGTTCATAAAAATTTATCTGAAAAAGATTCATGTATAAATTAACCTTAAAATAAAGTTCATTACATTCTATTCTTTAACAACCAGTCTTTATAGGACACATGTTCACAAGACAATTATGCCCCCACTTCATTTGCCTTTAACAATGACATATTTACATATAAATAAATATTTCATAAAGATCAAGGCTTTTAGCATTATATTAATACAATGTAGGTAAAATGTATATAACAGACTTTGCGAAAAATTAAGAAATTCTGTCAGACATTTGGTCTAACTGGCTTGAGATTTTTAGCAATGTCCCTACAAATTGACATGTAAATTAACTTCCACGGTTTATTCCTTCTCATGTTATTCATCACACAAGCATAACACAAGGATAACAGGAAGTACAGACCTACGGACAACATTAACACAGTAGGCTTCCCACTTTTTAGAACAAGTTACTAAAACATGTAAATGATTTTTTATATAGAAGTATTTTTTTTACCATAACCAATCTTAGATATTTTAAAATATAATAAATCTACAATGCTACTTACAAGAGCATTTCCTCTGTGGCACCTTCCTTCCCCGACATGTCAAACGACGTAAGTTGAGGTAGACAAGTAGTACGAGACAGGAGATCTGTTATTTTGAACTTTGGTGATGGATTACTTGAGAGAATTTGTTGTACACTTGAGTCATCTGATACATCTAGATGCACAAGTTTTGTGAGCTCACATAGCACTGGTACTATATCACATGTCTGAGCTGCTCGTAAAGAGTACATTGACAAATATTTCAATCTTTCTTTGCATTTTCTTAAAGATGATATATCGTCTATCAAAGTGTCTGAAATATCCAGATTTTCCAGTTTCGGCAGATCCTCTGCAATTATTTCCAAGCCTTGTTTATTGAACTGTGTCCTACTAACATTCAGACTGACTAAGTTGCGAAGTTTGGACAGAGACACCATCACACAAAACTTTGTTGCACTATTCAAAAACGTGCTATTGCTAACGTTGAGTGAGCGTAAATTTGTCAGAGTCCATTCTCCGAGACATCCTATCACATCGTTTATTGTCGTACTTTTCAAACCAGTTATTTCAAGGTCAGAAATTTTATGCTGTTTTAACGTCCGTAAACCTTTTGTACTTAACTGAGCATCTCGTATACAAACCTGCCTTAGATTCATTACATTTGGGTCAAATAACGTCATTGTCTCATCTGTTAACTTTCCTTTCTCACACAGAGTTTCCAACAGTTTTTCCGACAGATGATGTTGGAAATATATGTCCTGCTCCTTGAACATAAGCTTTGAATCTCCGAGCTCTGTGATTCCGGGCTCGCATAACTGACTTAGATTGTCACAGATGAAGTCTATGCAGCAGTTATGGAGACTAACTGGTGTGTCGTACATCGTGTTGAATTCGTGCTGCTCCTCAATAATCTCCCTCATTCATACCAGCCCCACAGCCACGGTTAGTAAAAGCTGAAAAAAAAAATCAGCATAAATTATGGTAAATCATGAAAATTTTAAATTTCACAATAAAGTGTAATCAAAATCCTAGAAAAAAAATTTAATTGAAGTTTATAAAGTCAACTTATTCAATCAATTAAATTAAGAAATGATAAAAAATGTTTCATGTCATTCTTTGCTCTTACAGTTTGCTGTTGACTGTTCTTAAGCATATAGAAATAGTGTCAGTTTCCTTCCTTAAAGCTTTTCAACTCAATACTTAGTCCATTCTTAATCATTAAAATCATGATCATATTTGAAAAGCAGTTATTTATAGAACTTATTCTACGCATATGTCACCTATTTGCGGTGATTTAGATATTTTCTATCAAACAAAATAAATACCTAAGATTAACTCTTTTCTGAACAATACTTCTTAGCTAAATAAAGAGCACTTAAAACAGTGGTAGCAGAAAACATAAAAGCACACACAGATATTGATTTGCATGTATACAAATAACAGATCTGATGACAAGAATAATTATCACATTTTGTCAAGCTTTACATGTTCTCTGTACTTTCTCCATACTTAAAAAGACAGTCCTGCTGAAAAAAAAAATCTCTTTAATAATGTGAACATCGTGACCTTATTGTCAGTATTGGAAAATACAGAGAACATGTACATATATAAATATCTATTACATTTGTACGAAAACAACAACAGCAACAACATCAGGCACATTTAGAATTTCAAGTCCCTTTCTTAATGCATAATTTGATTCAGAATATAAAAAAATTCCTAAATTGATTTAAAGGTAATAATGATTGAATTTCTGAAACTGTTTCCAGGTCACCATCCTCTAATTGTTTTAATTTCCAAAAGTGATCAGTAAGTCTTGTACCAAGTTAGGAGATGATCAAAAGGCCAGCAAATTGGGCTAAACTTAATCTGTCTTAACAACCACAACCCATTCTCATTATCCTGGAAGAATGTCTAGAATACAAGATCATGACTTTTTTGTTTATGTACAAGAATAAATTCAATAGTAAACAAGAGCCATGTCAACATGGCCATCCCCCGCCGAATGTGTTTGCTCATTGAAAGAATGTATATGTAGTAGAGCGGAATAATTCCATTTTAAGAGGTCTTTTGGTAATGATAACTGATGGCTATAGTGATTACAGATTTGAAACCTATGTGAATACTGATGGCTGAAAATAACAAAGGGCAATTACTGAAAAATAATGCAGGGTACGTTATCATTCTTGTGTGCTGCATCCCTCCTCAGTAAAATCTATCCACCTATGAAGTTTCAAGTTGATACCTCAAATACTTTTTGAGAAAAAAATTGAATTGAAAAATAAAGTATAAAAAGAACAAAGGGCAATAACTCAAAAATTATAAAAGGTAGAGTTATCATTCTTGTGCAGTGCACACCTCCTGAGTGAGATCTATGCACCTATGAAGTTTCATTTTGATATCTCAAAGGCTTTTTGAGTTATGCTCTGGACAAAAATTAATTTTGAAAAATAACAAAGGGCAATAACTCAAAAATAATGCAGGGTAGAGTTATCATTCTTAAGCACTGCACTCCTCCTCAATGAGATCCATCCACCTTTGAAGTTTCAAGTTGATACCTCAAATACTTTTTGAGATAAGCTCTGGACAAAATAGCATAAAAAAACAAAGGGCAATAACTCAAAAACTGTATAGGGAAGAGTTATCATTCTTGCGCACAACATTCCTCCTCAATAAGATCTATCCACCTATGACATTTCATGTTGATATCTCAAACACTTTTTGAGTTATGCTCCACTCAGGTGAAAAATTAGGTATGAAAAATAACAAAGGGCAATAACTCAAAAATTAAGAAAGGTAGAGTTATCATTCTTGTGCACTGCACACCTCCTGAGTGAGATCTATGCACCTATGAAGTTTCATGTTAATATCTCATAGGCTTTAGGAGTTATGCTCTGGACAAAAATCAATTTTGAAAAATAACAAAGGGCAATAACTCAAAAATCATGCAAGGTAGAGTTATCATTCTTGTGCACTGCACTCCTCCTCAATGAGGTCTATCCACCTATGAAGTTTCAAGTTGATAACTCAAATACTTTTAGAGATATGCTCCGGACAAAAATGTCGGACGGAAGGACGGACAGACGGACGGAAGGTCGGACGGACGGAGACTATTTCTATATCCTCCGCCGAAATTTTTCGGCGGGGGATAACAAGCTCTCTAAGAGATTTCAGCACCTTTGAGAAACAGCCATCCAATAACAAACATTATAGATCAAACATGTTGAAAATATCTGACAAAAGCATCTGTTTCAATCGAAGTGTCGATAACATTTTAAGGCCGAGGTCTTTGCTTATAAGAGAAATCCAAGACTGAAAGTGCTTTTATATCACAATGTTCTATATACTGTACTGTACCTACATGTATCTTAAGCACTTCAATAAAATAAATGACCTGGTTGCATAACGAAGCCACAAATGGGACAATTAACCATGTGACTATAACACTAGTAAGTTACATAAATTCAAGGGCCGTATAATATGGTAAACCTTCACAGCTTTGAATAGTTTGACAGCTGTCACCTTACTAGTTACTTATGACATTACAGTATTCGGAATCTGTTCATTTTCAGCAAATGAAACATTCATAGCAATTAAATGGAGGTATAAATGGATAATTCCATTACCTACTATAATGCCTCAAATTATTAACAAGAGCTGTCGGTAGGACAGCATGCTCGACTATTCTAAGTGCTTGATAGTAAAAGAGCCTTGATAATGTTAAATTTTTTAAGTTCACAAAAGGGCTAATTTTTTTTATAAATTCATGTTATAGGCCTTAGAGAGAGTCTAATTATACAGTATTTGCTTGACTATTCGGAAGGTAATGTCACATTTTTAGGGTGTTTTATTGAGAATAATAATACTAATTACCTATGAATACATAAATTTGACAGAAAAGGTACCAAGGCTTGTTATTAAGATGTTTTATCAAGTAGATCACTGCTTTATTATTATGAATGCATAAAATTGTCCCAAAAAAGGCACAAACCCTTCAGTAGTTATTGAGATAACAGCTTACAAGCAAAACTTTACCATGAATTTCTAAGTTGAAAAAGGGGAGAAAAATCAGCCTAAATGCAAGATAGAATTATGTATCTTTGTCAGTGACCTACAATTATGACCCTAAATGCATATGTGAAATTTTAAATAAATTATCTTTAATAGTTATTGAGATATGTAAAACTTGCATGTAAACATTAACCAAGAGACTAAGTAGAAAGGGGAATATGAATCAGCCTTAATGCAAGATGGAGTTATGGGACTTGGTCAGTGACATACAATTATGACCCTCCAATTTTGACCCTAAGTGCATGACTGTGTAAAGTTTCAAGTAAATATCTTTGAAGACCTTTAACCAAAATTTCTAAGGTTCAAAGGGGCAAATAATTCTGCAAATATTGCAGGCAGAGTTATGCAATTTTGCAAACTGATGTACATTGTTACTATAAAAAAGTATTTTAAATTTCAAATGAATATCTCAAGCAATAATTGAGATATTTGACTTTACAAAAAAACTTTAACCAAAATTTCTAAGTTCCAAAGGGGCATAATTCTGTCAATATTGTAGGCAGAGTTATCCAACTTGTCAATCTGATGAACCTTGTTACTATAAATAAGTATTGTAAGTTTCAATTGAATATCTCAAGCAATAATTGAGATATTTGACTTTACAAAAAACCTTAACCAAAATTTCTAAGTTAAAAAGGGGCATAATTTTGTCAATATTGTAGGCAGAGTTATCCAACTTGTCAATCTGATGTACCTTGTTACTATAAATAAGTATTGTAAGTTTTAATTGAATATCTCAAGCAATAATTGAGATATTTGACTTTACAAAAAACTTTAACCAAAATTTCTAAGTTAAAAAGGGGCATAATTCTGTCAATATTGCAGGCAGAGTTATCCAACTTGTCAATCTGATGTACCTTGTTACTATAAATAAGTATTGTAAGTTTCAATTGAATATCTCAAGTTATAATTGAGATATTTGACTTTACAAAAAACTTTAACCAACGCAGACGCCGACGCGGACGCTGACGCCGACACCGACGCCGACGCGACTACAATAGCTCTCATATTCTTCGAATAGTCGAGCTAAAATAGGTTGACTGCAAAACTTGGCAATGCTTTCTGTACATGGATTTCAGCACTTTACAAAAGACCAATACATGCAAAATCAACAAACTGTTGTAATCTTTGCAAATAAACAGGTGTATTAACCTTTAGAAATGAACTGGAGATAAAGAATAGTCTTTCAAATTTCTTTTTCAGTATAAGTGAAAAGACATTACTGTTTATGTTTACAAAATCAAGCATGGTGGCATCTAAGCAAAAACATTTTGTTTAAGTTGTGTAACAATTGTACAATATTCATAGTGTATAATTGTGCATCAGTAATACTGAATCTATGCATTATATGGCCAAAACAAGCAAAGTGGTAAGTAAATGGTCCAAAAATATTTTAAAAGTTAAATCACACTGAAAGTATGTGTACAGCTGCTAAGACATTATCTAAAAAATATTTCAAGGAAAGTGGTAGGTGCCTAGGTGCATCATTCACAATATTGTATGTAATACAAAAATGTTAACGAAAATTTGAAGTTGGAAAAGAAGCATAATTTTGTCAATATACTTTATAGAGGTTACTCATGTATTTCCTTTCATCTGGAATTGGGGATAATGATGACTTTCAAGTATTAAGAGTTGCAAAGACTTAACTGTTAATATTAGTAAAAAAAATGTGGCTTTTGTCAAAATCTATGACAGAGTTTTTCTTGCCTTAAAGAGGTGATAATGGTCATAGACCACTATTTCAATTTCAAACCAATACCTCAAAAGGATAATAATTTTATAGATCTGTTAGAATGTAAGTGGGGGTGGTACAAAAACCAAAATGTGACACTGAGACCTGGATGAGTAGGATACATTAATAATAGCTCTCTCCCTACAT